ATTGGAACCTCCAAAGTAATACATCAAGTTATAAATACTCAATATTATTAACTTGAAAACGAAATTACGCAATCAAACAAAGTGGATATTCTTGGACACCAACCGGAATAGAACCGTATACAAAGGCCACTTTTGGATTACTAGCCCATGGGTACTTTCTTCTAAGTGCGCACTATAAAGCAGGGAGAACTCACATCTCCAGTACTAGAGCCTTACTCTGGCCAAGTCAAAACAAACAATGCCTCAAGAAACCCAAATCAACAAATTGTGTAACAAATGTATATCATATATACTCAATGCACTTAGCCAAATACTGATAAGCGCCGAATCTTGTATATTCAAGCGCCCTAAATTGCATTAGTTAAGTTCTTTATTTGTGTATTTTATATAGATTATCTCCAATTGTATGTTTTTGCTCATTTTCAGGTCCATTGGCCAAAAAGAAGCAAGAAGGATGCTTTGTGGAGTTTTGAACATCAAAGGTGCCAATTCTGAAATTCTGGCAGCAGTGAAGCCCGAACTTTGTTCACCATTTTGACCTTGCAAACTCGAGAACTGGACTTCCATTATAAAATGACATATTTAGAGCTCTGAATTAGATTTCCAAATCTTTAAGCGGTTTATCATTCGGAGCTCGGAGCAGAGAGTTATGGCCTTGTTACCAGAGGTGCGCAGAACTGCCTGGCAGCAATGAAATTCTGCCTTTATCTTCATTTTCGACCAACCATCCTTGAGAATTGGATCTCCACCAAAACATGAAGTTTTTAGAGCTCTGAATTAGCTTTCCAAATCTTCAAACGGTTCATCATTTGGAGTTCAGAGCGCAAATTTATGGCCGTTTTACCAAAGTAGGTCCGGGCGGAGCAAACCAAGCATAGGGCATTCTGGCCAATTTTCGAGTGCTCGAGGCCTTATTTCGAGTGCTCGAAATTAGGGCAGATTGCTTCACGAGATCAGCAGTGGAGTCAGGACTTTGCTCGCCATTTTGACTCAGAAAGCTCGAAAACTGGACTTCCATCATAACATAAAAGATTTAGAGCTCTGAATTAGCTTTCTAAATCTTCAAACGGTTCATCATTCGGAGCTCGGAGCAGAGAGTTATGGCCTTGTTACCAGAGGTGCGCAGAACTGCCTGGCAGCACTGAAGTACTGTCTTTCTCCCCATTTTCGACCAACCAGACTTGAGATTTGGGTCTTTATCAAAACATGAAGTTTTTAAAGCTCTGAATCAGCTCTCCAAATCTTTAAACGGTTCATCATTCAGAGTTCGGAGCGCAAAGTTATGGCTGTTTAACCGAAGTAGGTCTGGGCGGAGCAAGGCAAGAATGGAGCATTCTGCCCCAATTTTGAGTGCTCGAGCCCTTATTTCGAGTGCTCGAAATTAGGCCATAATTGCATCCGAAAATGGCCCATTTTCAGCCACTTGTATCTTGGGTTCCTCAATTCTAATTTCCCTCTTTAATGGTTGGTTGGTGGGGATTTTTTTGAGCCTTATCTCTAGAAGATAAGAAAGGGAAGCCACACAATACATTAAGCTTCATTTTGGGAAGATAGAGGAGAGAGAAGAGAGCAAAAAAGGTGTGTTCTTGGAGCTAGAAGAGGGGAGCTCGAAAATGGAGGTCAAGGCTTTGCTTCCTCCTTCCTCTAGTGCATCAATGGGTAACTAAACCTCCATCTAGGGAGGTGATGAAGCTCTACCTTGTAAGCATGTCTAGTTTTTGATTTATTTTGGGGAATGAAATGTATATTTGGCTAGTTCCATGGTCTAGGGCATGTTACAAATTGTAATAAAGATTTTGAATGTTTGAATGACTATGTTGATTTACATACTCTTGTCTTAGATTATTTAATATCATAGTTGTATGGCTTATAGTTTCATAGTGACAATGGAACTAAGATTATGGAACGGTTTTAATGGCGTGGTTTTGAGTAGTTTGTTAATCCATAGCTTAAGAATTTCTTTTGATGAGTTAATCTTGTGACTTGATATCATGTGCTTCCACCAATTGATTAATTGTTTGACAATCTCTAGCTTAATGAGCATGTCTAGGGTTGCATCTTAGTTTAGGTAACTCAACCATGTGAAGCTTTGATAGGTTGTTCTTACTCTTTAATTAATTGAATTTCTTGAAGATATTATAGTAGTCATGTATTATTATATATCAAGGTCATTTCTACATTAATTCCCCAAATCAATCATATAATTAGCTTGTGTAGAGGTTTGGAGTGGACTCACTACCCTAGACTTCCTTCTCTAAATCTTCTCTTTTAATCTCCTTCAATTTATTGTTTTATGCATTCTGAATTTGTAGTTTAGTGACAAACAAAACAAACCCTCTATGAACACCCCTTATCACTCTAAAATGACTCTAGACACTTAGGTTGCCATAAATTAGCGCAGTCCCAGTGGTTCGACTTACCCGACCAATAGCCCTATTTTACAATGATTCGTGCTATTGCGAAGGTTGATGTTAGTTGATCAACCGATCAAATACCATGCACATCCAAGTCATGGAAATCACACAAGTTATGCCCTAGGCATTCAAGCTACAATGACATATTAAATATCAAATACAAAATGTGTAATTCATTACACATGACAACAATATATTTATTATTGGAAACATATTCACATGAATATAAATATAACAACAATATTATTCAATACTTAAAACATAACCAAGTGAATACACAACAAGTCCAAGTTCATGATTTAAACATAGAAACAATTTCTAAAACATAATTAAATCCATGGAACAAGTAAATAGAATTTAATTAAATAAAATAATTAAGTTCTCTAGATTTTAAATCAATTTCAAATAGCTTCAAATTAATATATATTAAGGAACATAGCATGGTAATCAACAATATCTAGTTAAAAATCCAATTAAGTGAATAAAATACTTAAAATAAAATTAATTAATCTAATTAATTAATTTCATCTAGATTTTAAAATAACTTCAAATGCTAAATTAATATATATTAAGGAACATAGCATGGTAATCAACAATATCTAGTTAAAAATCCAATCAAGTGAATAGAATACTTAAAATAAAATTAATTAATCTAATTAATTAATTTTCTCTAGATTTTAAAATAACTTCAAATGTTCTCAAATTAACATAGGTTAAAGAACATACCATGACTTATTTTAATATCAGATTATAAGTTAATTTCATACTAGTTACAACTATGTGAATTAAATTTTTATTCAAAAAAATAATTAAATAAAAGTTGCAATACTTATTCAAATATTCCTAATTTAATATTTGTTAGTGAATATATCAAGGCCTAATTTAATAGCATGCTACAAATGAATTCCAAGCTATATACAACCCTGTGAATGAAATATTTTACATAGAAAATAATTAAATTAAATTCTAGAATTAATACAAAAGCATGCATACAAGTTGTATAAGCATAGAAAACAATCAATACAACACATATATGAACCTAAAACATCCCCTACCTTAATTTAAGATGAAAATCTCAAAAGCCACTAAAAGAAAATTGCTCTGAATTCGACAATACTTTGTGGTTGTGTCGGGGACAACGAGGGAAGCAACTATCACCCTTGAGGTACCGCCAAAATTCAAACCCGAACTCAAAATCCGAATTCAACAATGGTCGAAAACGGATTCTAATAAGGGGAAAATGACTGCCTCACCAAGGCCTATAATAAATACTAAGGCATCACAACAAAATACATGAGGGAAGTGGCCGGAAAAGAAGAAAGAAGGGTGGCATCCCCTTGGGCTGCCGGCCAAGAGAGGGAGAAGACAAAGAAAATGTTGACTTTTCATTTTAAGTCCCCCTATTTATAGAAAACCCCTAAAAGTGCTCCGAACGGGCCTTACCGGGTCCGAAAAAGTGAAATTTGCGTAGACGCACTCAAACGGTAAAACACTGTGAACAAAAAAGAATTGAAATGGAAAAAAATGAATAACAGAAGAAACGACATTGAAAACCGAGTCCCGTGCAGAAAGATATACCCCGAACAAGTTTGGCGGCATTTAGGGTCAGAAACCTAAAAACTGTGGAAAAATGAGCAGAAGAAAATTCTAAGAGTATGAGATTCGACGAAAAGTGAAAATGAATCCCGTATGAGAATCCAGGCTCAAAACGAGGCATTTTGCAATAACTTTTGTTAATTACATAATGGCCCCTACATAAAGGGAAAACTACAAAACTGCCCAAAATGAAAAGATATTTTCCCCTGAAATAAATATCTTCAAAAGATATTTTTGAAAAATACCTCAAGAAATGAGAATGTTTCTGAAAAATCCTTTCATCCACGCCCCTGCGGGAAAAAGAAATAACCGGCGAGCTTTTCTCTAAAAATAAAGCTACATGTTTCGAGGAAACCAACTGGAATGAAAACTCATGGAATCAAAAATCAACTTCGAACACGAAAAGTGAGGTTACGCCAAAAAAGTAACAAACGGGGAAAAGACGAAAGGTGAATAGTGTCAAAAAATAAAAATGTGAAAATGACGCTATCCTAACAAATAAATTGTCAATCCAAAGGAAAGAGTCTTGAAAATTATTCCCGAACACTTGAGACGACACCAAATGATGAGAAACCGAACTCAGAAAGAAAAGATTAGCAGAAAAAAAATATTCGTAAAAATTTGAGAAAAAAAAAATGAATGAAAATGATAGGGTCATTATACCGTTTGTGTTTTATTTCCCCCCTTTTCCCTTCACCACCCATTTAATGTTGCTAGTACATACCATGTTACCCAGTAAAATACTTTAATTATATTTTAACCACGAAAATGACCATATTAACCCCGAACTTCATCCTAATCAAAGGATGACTTTAATAAATGACTATTTTACCCTTTTTAGGTCTTAAACTATCATGATTGTGTTAAATGACCATTTTGCCCTCGTTGGGCCTTAAAGTATTAATTTAATGAAAAATGACCATAATACTCTTGCATGACGTCAGGTTCGAGTAAGAACCCGATTAACGATTCGGATCCAATGGATTTGGATCATAACGTGTTATGATGGTGTACAGTTATCTCACTATTTAAAAAATAATTTAAATTTTTATTTTTATTTTTTATTTTTATGTTGTGGTGGTAGTTATGGTGGTATAAGTTTTATTATATATAAACCATATCTATATGTATAAAAGAGATGAAGAGGAGGTTGGTTTGATCCATTAAATTTAATTATGATGTTAAATTTGTAATTTTATAATTTAAATAGAGTTGTTAATAAGTCAAAAAGTTAAAAGGTAATTTTACATAATTTTAGAGGTTTGAAAGTGATGTCAATGAACATTTTTGAAACTTAAAAGAAGTGTCAATGTAAAATAAATTATTGACTATCCTTTAAGTGGTCTTCAACAAAATCTTAAAGGGCGTGTCGGTTCAATTTATCCCGAAAAAAAAAAAAAACAAAAAAAAAAACACATGACGCGAGTAAGTGACGCACATTATTCCAAGAAAAATACAATCAAGAGGTTGATTTTCAACTTCCTTCCAATTATAGTACAGGGAGAGCTGAGAATCCTGTTGTAACATGGCATTACCTAGAATCAGCAAAACGCATTTTCTATTGAAATCAATGAAACCCTGTCATCAGATTCAGCTCTGCTCTTGCTTCCACACACCCAACTCACCATTTCGTCGACTCATTTGCGGTACCCAAACGCATCACTACCGATCTTCTTCTTCTTCTTCTTCTTCTTCTTATTCAGATGATTCTAAGATCGCTGATGGTCTCATTTCCATCTTCACCGAGACAAGACCCTTTAGCGCAGATACCCAAGAACTGAGGGACTATGGAATAAAACTCACTACCAAAATTGTTGAATCTGTGTTGGCAGGTATAAAGAGTTGGGAAATAGCTCACATGTTCTTTAATTGGGCTTCAAATCAATGTGGGTATAAGCATAATTGTTATACTTACAATGTCATGGCTTCCATCCTATCACATGCTCGTCAAAATGCCCTACTGAAGGTTTTAGCCTCAGATATAGTGAATTCTCATTGTTTCTTCACCCCCGGGGCATTGGGATTCTTTATTAGGTGTTTGGGTCGTCAAGGCTTGATTCAAGAAGCCAATGTGCTCTTTGATCAAGTCAAAAGGACGGGTCTTTGCATTCCAAATAATTATACCTATAACTGTCTGTTGGAGGCTATCTCTAAGTCTGGGTATGTTGATTTAATTGAGATGAGGTTGAAAGAGATGCGTAGTAATTCAGGGTGGGTACTCGATAAGTACACATTGACACCGCTCTTGCAGTGTTACTGCAATGCCGGCAAGTCTGATAAAGCTTTGCAAGTATTCAATCAGTTGCGCGAGAAGGGTTTGCTCGATTCTCATGTTTTGTCTATCTTGGTGCTCTCTTTCACCAAGTGGGGTAAGGTGGATAAGGCTTTTGAGTTGATTCGGAAGATGGAAGATCTCAATATTTACTTGAACCAAAAGACATTTTGTGTTTTAATACATGGGTTTGTAAGGGAGTCCAGGGTCGATAAGGCCCTCCAGTTGTTTGATAAAATGCGCAAGTGTGGTTTCACTCCAGACATTTCACTTTTTGACGTGCTGATTGGAGGGTTCTGCAAGAACAAAGAGCTTCAAAAAGCTTTATTTTTGTACACAGAGATGGTATACCAGGGAATCCATCCTGATATTGAAATGCTTACAAAGCTTGTATCATCATTAATCAAGTATCGGCCCAAGGGTCTGGACCCGAAAACTATGACTTTGCTGTATAATTCTGTTTTGAATGGTCTTATTAATAATGGGTTCATTGATAAAGCATGTCATCTGCTACAGGCAATGAGTGGGGATAGATTTATTGCTGATTCTGATGTGGACAAGCTCTTCATGGTTAAGGAATTTGCTAGTCCAGATACCAATTCTTTCAGAATAGTCATTGATGCATTGTGCAGGACTGGTAAGTTGGATGTAGCCCTAGGACTCTTCCGAGATATGGATCAAATTGGTTGTAGAAAAAGTCTGTTACTTTATAATAATTTAATTGATGGTTTGAGCAATTCAAATAGAGTAGAGGAATGCTATGAACTTCTAAAAGAGATGAAGGAGTTGGGATTTAGGCCAACACCTTTTACCCATAACTCCATATTTTGGTGCACTTGTAGAAGAGAGGATGTTATAGGAGCCCTTGATGTGGTAAGGGAGATGCGTGCTCATGGGCATGAACCATGGATAAAGCATTCTACATTGCTTGTTAAGAAGCTATGCAAACATGGGAGGGCAGTTGAAGCTTTTGACTTTCTTGCTGGTATGGTTCAAGAAGGTTTCCTCCCTGACATAATTGCTTATACTGCAGCTCTTGATGGGTTTTTCAAGATCCACAAAGTGGATCGAGCTTTAGAGCTATTCCGAGACATTTGTGCTCGTGGGTATTGTCCTGATGTAGTTGCTTATAACACTCTAATAAATGGACTTTGTAAGGTCAAAAGAATATCTGAAGCCCAGGACTTTTTGACTGATATGCTGGAGAAGGGGCTTGTTCCCTCAGTTGTTACCTACAATATACTCATTGATGGATGGTGCAAAACTGGTGATATTGACAATGCCATTCTTTGTCTTTCAAGGATGGTTAAGGAAGAACGGAAGCCTAATGTCATCACTTATGCAACTTTAATAGATGGTTTATGCAATGCTGGAAGGCCAAATGATGCTCTCAAGCATTGGAATGAAATGGAGAGAAAGTGTTGTTCTCCAAACAGAATTGCCTTTATGGCTCTAATTTGTGGCCTTTGCAAGTGTGGGAAGCCAGGTACAGCTCTAGTATACTTGCAGAAGATGGAAGGCAAGGAGATGACACCCGACACTATTGTCTATGTTGCATTGATAAATGCCTTCCTGTCTAACTTAAATGCACCCTTGGCTTTTGAGTTATTGAGAAAGATGGTTCACAATGGAACTTTTCCGGACTCGGTTGATAAGAACCATTTAATTCTAAAAGATGCAATACTTAAACTATCTGAAGATGCCAGGACTAAAACGAATGTTAAGAATCTTATTGCAGAGAGCAGTATTTTGAAAAATCTTTGTATTTCAGATGTTGGAAGTGAAGATGGACTTGAGCCCATAGCCTAATCAAGGGGTCCTTTCTGTCAGCTAGTCACGTCAGAGGCTGGGGTAATTTCAGAATGTCTTCATCTTCTATGTGAAGCCATTCGAATCAAGTCCTCCATTCAGTCCAATACTCCATCTGCCTTCTGCCAGGGGGTTCAAGGGGGATGTAATTTCCTACTTTGTTATTCTCAATTGAAAATCAAGGGGTGGATTCATTCTCTTATTCTGGAAAACTTCTTGTGATTTTTTAAAGGGGGCATAGAAATACGGAATGTCAGTTTAACCATCTATCAAGGCCATATATTCAAGTTCTTTGCAACTCTTTTTTTTCTGTCTGCTTCAATTATGGTAAGCCTTAAACTTTCAATTACTAGTATGGCTAACATACAGCTAAATAGTGAATATTATTGTAGTTCCATGTTCATTCTATATAGATGATAAATATTATTTCTTGATTTTTTATTTGAGTATAAAATATGCAACAACAAATAATTCTCATCAACATATAATTTATGACGTGGGACAGTTAAGCTCCTGCTATATTTCCAGTGCAGCTCTTTTTTTTAAAGGTGATAATTTGTTCAAAGTTCAAACTAATCAGCTCTGAACTTGATAAAAGTGATAATTTGTGTCTCAATTCTCAGACTGTGGCTCATGTGGGAGGAAGTGGAAAATCAACTGCTATTTCCTTGCTACAGAGGTATTATGAACTATACAGTGTTCAGATCATACTAGATGGATTTGAAATTCAGAAGTTTAAAATCAGGTGGTTGAGGCAGCTAATGGCAGTAGTGGCTCAGGGAACCAGTGTTGTCAGTGATGCATTCGATGTCAACATTACCGATGGATTGGAGAATGCTCATCAGTTTGCAAGTAGATTACCACAGGTTTGCTTCTTCCCATGGTCTATGGCAGTGTAGCGAACACAGATATAATAGGAACTGAGGCAGAAGGGGAAGATGAAGATGGCGAAAAGAAACCCAAGGCAAAGAAAGTGAAGGAAACAACTTACGAGTGGGAGCTTTAGAATGATGTGAAACCTATATGGCTAAGGATCACACAGAATACCACTCTCTTGCCATGGTAATTTTTTATATCTCTGTGCTTACCCTTTGCTTGGACTTGCAGGACACTAGTGAATTTTGTGGATAAATTTAGTAAAATTTTTGTAGTAAATTTCTCTTCATCCGATGTACTTTTTATTTTTGTTTTTGTTTGGTTAAACAGGACTTCAGTTACAAGAACGCTCTTTTGCATGGAGTCAGTTTACTACTAGGGCTCCTCGTGATTTGTATGAGAGTTACTATAACATGAAAAATCCAACCTGAAGTTATATGATAGACGGTCATTACAAGAAAAATACCATTCCTATTCCTCCCAAATTGGCACACATTGATCCATCAACCAAAATGCACTCGAAACCATGGGCGTAGCCCTTTGTGGGCTAACCTGGGCTGCAACCCAGGTCAAAAAAAATTTTTTTTTTTACTACTACTACTTCCTACCAGCTGTAGCCCAACCTAAGTTGCCCAATCCATGGTAAATGGCCCAGCCGGGCCAGCCCACTAGCCCAGCAAACCAAAACTAATCCTAGAAGAAGACCTAAGTACCTAACTATTCAAGGCAAATACAGATTCTGGAAACATATACACGCTCAGCCGAGACTCTTTATTGGGTATTTGGGTGGAATGAAACACCAGTATAGAGGATGATGTTGAAGGCTAAACAAGAACCTAAATCCCATGATTTACCCACTTGAGTGAGCCCTTACTATGTGCTCAAATTTAAATTGTTGATGCATCTATATACATTTATATATATATATATGAATTTGTATATGAAATTGTGCATATTAAATCTATCTTTCAAATATATATATATATATGTGTGTGTGTGTGCGTGTGTGTGTGTATTAATATTTGCATACTTTAATCTAGGGTTTCAAGTACTTTAATCTAGGGTTTCATGATTCAATGACATGGAAAAAAAAAAATTCATTTGCAAATGCATTTGTGTAGTTTGAAATTTGAATGCTCTGTTAGTGTTGGTTTTATTTATTTATTATTATTATTATTACTTTTTTAATCAAATCTAGGGTTTGTTCTTGGAAAATGGAGGATTTAGTAATTAATAATTTAATACCCAGTTTGCATAACACTTATTTATTTGTGTTGTTTGTTGGGTTCAAGCTAAAAGTAAAAGAGACATGAGGCAAGTTATTGAAAAATATGTTTACTAACTTAAAAGGAATATGTTGGAACGAATGCAAAGCAAGATATGAAAAATTATATTTACAATAATGAATATGTATAACACAATTGACTATTCTATTTCCTTGGACTGGCAGATACCATGTAAGGCAGACACCAGTTGGATCCTGTAACTTTATATAATTAAAGCCGGAGAAGGAGATATATAATCTATTCAATGGCATGGAAAAAAAAAAAAAAATCATTTACAAATTTATTTTTGTTGTTTGTTGGGTCTCTGAGTGTTATGTAGTTTGTGTAGAAAACTAAATAATAAAATAAAAAAAGGAAGTAAATGGGTTTGAATTTTTATTTGTGTAGTTTGAATGCGCCGTTGTTTGTCTTAGTCAATGATGAATAGAAAACTAAATAATAAAATAAAAAAGAAAGTAAATGGGTTTTTGAAGAAAGTAAATGGGTTTGAGTTTTTATCACACATGTATAGTACATCTATTGAAATTCATTTTTGTAGTGGCCATGATTCAGGCTCCAGCAGGGGATGGTGGAAACTGGAAACTACTCTTCCTCTTCATCTTCATCTCAACACACGCCACGCGGTGGAAATTCCATTTACAAATTACAGGTGATTTTTAATTTTCATCATTCTAGTTCTGGTGTGCTTTGTAGGAGTGATGCATAGTTGGTTTTCATTTTCTTTCTAATAACAGAAATTAATTTCAAGCAAAATAAAAACCCCTTTTTAAGTTTTTATTTACCAAAAAAAAAAAAAAAATCCCTTTTCTATTGTTGATGTGTTTGAAGTTTTGTTCTCTTCTGTTTTTGTTTAACATTTTTATCTCTCACCATTTATATAAATGAGTCTAGGAATGTATGACATTGTTTTGAAACCCTTAATTTATATGAATATACTGTAAACATACCTTTTTCCTGTAAATAAAGTTTGTATATATAAATTTGTTTACATATATTTGTTTGTTTGTATGTGTGTGTGTAAGAGTGAGTTGAAATAAAATTCCAATAAAACTTTCTCATTTCTTTGACAATACACATACCTCAATAAATTTTTTTTTTTTCTTTTTCCTGCTATCAGCTCTATAGGTGATAGGCAATTAGGCATGCCCTTTATTTTTGTTTGTTGAAGCACTACAAGATAGGAATTTTCCACCCTCAAGATGAAAAATTTGTTTTCGTTTTATAAACGGAAAGATGATAAATCAGAAATTGGGGCAGCTTCTACGAGTACAAGTACCTGTCCTAAGACTACAAGCTCTAATGAGCAGCAACAAGAGCCTCCTTCAAAAATTCCAAGAGTTGAGCAGACGGAGGTTGATGATATGTCTTTTATACAAGATCCTGGCTTGCGTCTTCAAATATGGAAACACCCCGTTAATGAACGTGATGAGCTTCGACAAATTATATCTTAAGGGGACCTTATCAACCAAATCTCCATGTGTTTCCTTCCACTCAAGATAGAACTCAATCTCGTCGATTTCAAAGTAATTGGTATGAAAAATTCACTTGGATTGAGTATTCTCCTAAGAAAAATAAAGCATATTGTTTGCCATGTTTTCTCTTTGAAACTAATCCACCATCTCATCCTGCTTTTACTATCGAGGAGTTTAATAGTTGGAAAAGGGTTAATGATGGACCTAGGTGTGCTCTTTTGCAACATGTGGGAGGTCCTAATTCATTTCACTTGTGTGCCGTAAGAGCTTCAGATGCTTTAATGAATCCTTTGCAACATATTGACAGAGTGTTGAATGTATCATCTAGAGATGTGGTGGAAAAGAATCGATTACGCCTTAAGACAACAATTGAAAGTGTTCGGTGGCTTGCATTCCAAACATGTGCATTTAGAGGTCACGATGAATCCGTTGAATCTTTGAATCGTGGCAACTTTATTGAATTCATAAAGCATTTAGCAAAGTTAAATGACAAAGTTGCTAAAGTTGTCTTAGAGAATGCACCAAAAAATGCAAAGTACCTCTAGCCGATGGTTCAAAAAGAGGTTTTACATATTCTTGGCAATAGGGTGAGACGTAAGATTCGTAAAGAAGTTGGGGATGCAAAATTTTGTATTTTGGTTGATGGAGCATAAGATTTGTCTAATACTGAGCAAATGGCCATTGTATTGAGATTTGTTGATAAGAATGGTTTGCTTAAAGAACGATTTTTTGGAGTTGTAGGCGTTAAAGACACCTCTGCCTTAACTCTTAAAAAAGAAATATCAGATGTCCTTACTCTTTATGATCTCCAAATTGATAATATGCGAGGCCAAGGGTATGATGGAGCAAGCAATATGCGTGGGGCGTGGAATGGATTACAAGCGTTGTTTCTTAAAGAATGTCCATATGCATATTATGTACACTGCTTTGCTCACCAACTACAACTAGTATTAGTTGCTGCATCCAAAGATGTGCAAGATATATGGCTATTCTTTTCAAAGTTGAATTCTATTGTCAATCTTGTCAGTGCTTCTCCTAAGCGTCATAGCGAGTTACAATCAGCTCAAGTGATTTTATCTACTAATAAGTTGGCTACTGGTGAACTTGAGAGTGGTAAAGGAGCTAATCAGATTAAGACTTTGCAATGAGCAGGTGCCACTCGATGGAGCTCTCATTTTGGTTCTGTTAGTAGCTTGATAGACTTATTTGGTCCATTTCGTGTAATTATTGAAAATCTTTCAAAGAATGGACCAACTAATTCTATATGTGGGGAAGCAAAAGGTGTTTATCTTGCAATGCTTTCATTTGAATTTGTATTTATCTTGCATTTGTTGCGTGAGATGATGGGAGTTACTGATATACTTTGTCAAGCATTGCAACGAAAAACTCAAGACATTGTAAATGCTATGAATCTAGTTTTAAGTACGAATGCACTCCTTCAAAATTTGAGAGAAAATGGGTGGCATACTTTCTTTCAAAATGTGGAATCATTTTGTAAAGAACATGACATTGTAGTACCTAATATGAGTGCTTCTTATATGGTGGGTACAAGTCGTTTTTGTCAACAAAATAATAGTATTACATTTAATCATCACTATCAAGTTGATATTTTCAATGCTGCTGTATATTTTCAATTGATGGAGTTAAATCATAGATTCTCTGAAAGTACAGTGGAACTCCTTATTCTTGGCACAGCTTTGGATCCTAAAGATGCTTATAAATCATTTAAAGTTGATGATATTTGCGATCTTGCAGGGAAATTTTGTCCTAAGGATTTTCAAGATGAGATGCATGCTTTGAAAAGTCAGTTGGAACATTATAAGATTGATGTACTCCATCATCCGAGTTTTCAGAATTTGTCCACCATTTCTGATTTATGCAAAATGCTAGCTGAAACAAGAAAGAGAGAAACTTATTATCTGATTGATAGATTGATTCGTCTCATATTGACTCTTCTTGTTTCTATAGCAACAATAGAACGAGCTTTTTCGGCAATGAAGCGTGTCAAAACTAAACTTCGCAACAAGATGGCTGATTGTTCACAGTTATATATATGAGAGAGAGAGAGAAGTTTCAGACTTGTATATATTCATCATACTAAAAACCTAATAAAGTGTACAAGGCTTATATAAAGAGTACAAGTCTTACTTAACTATACAAGGGCCCCTATCAACTTTCTGTAATTACATAATGGCCCAACACTTATATTTATATATATATATATAACATTCTAACACTCCCACTCAAGCTGGAGAATATATATCAAATAATCCCAGCTTGGAACAGATAGTTCTTAACCGGTTATGACCCAATGCTTTGGTAAACATATCAGCTAATTGATCTTCAGACTTCACAAATGGAGTAGAGATGCTCCCACTTAATATTTTTTCCCGAATGAAGTAACAATCAACTTCAATATGTTTGGTCCTCTCATGAAACACAGGATTTGATGCAATGTGAACTGCTACTTGATTATCACAGAACAATGGAGTAGGAGCCCCAACTATTAACCCAAGTTCTTTTAGAAAATGTTGTATCCATGTCAACTCACTAGTGGTATGGGCCATTGCCCTATATTCAGCTTCAGCACTAGATTAAGCTACCATTGTCTGCTTTTTACTTTGCCATGTAACAAGATTTCCTCCTACAAATGTGCAATAGCCTGTAGTAGATCTCCTATATGAAGGAGAACCAGCCCAGTCAGCATCCGTAAAACCTTCCACCCTGAGATGACCATTTGATTTATATAGTAACCCTAAACCTGGAGCTTTCTTGAGATATCGTATAATCCGAAGAACAGCAATCCAATGTGGCATTCTAGGAACTCCCATGAAGTGACTTACAACACTGACTGCATATGAAATATCAGGTCGAGTGATAGTAAGATAAATTAATTTCCCAACAAGGCGACGAAACCTGCCCGGGTCATTAAATAGATCACCCTCATCAGATACAAGTTTTGTATTTGAATCCATAGGAGTATCAACCGGATGACCACCCAACATACTTGTTCTTCTAATAAATCCAACACATATTTGCGTTGGGATAAACTTATACCCTTCTTG